TAACTTTGAAAGCTTTCTCCAGAAACTCGGCATTGGCGCTCCATTCAAAAGTATAAAGTCCGTTCTGGACCAGACTTTGTCTTCGAGTACGTCATGCTTACTGCTTCACAAAACACTCGAGCAACTGTTGAAGAAATCACAATGGTACTATGGTACATGGTTCCATTCTTAATGAAGATATCTCTCGGGCAAGTTTATTTCAAATATTTCTTCAACCTAAACCTCAACTTCCTATTCCTCAAGTGTCGGTGTTTGAACAAACTACAGTGAACTAAATCCTGCGGGTGACGAAAAAATGCTTTGAGGAAAAGCGTATGCCGCCCTCTCGTGATATGCCGGGTCGTTCATCACTCGCCTCGTCAACCATGAGCAATTATGTACGGCCGAGTCCGAATTACTTGGCTCAAGTTGGCTGAAGCTTGAAATTACGCACGAGTTTATGGTTTTGGCTGCAGCCACTCCTCATAGAGCCTAGTGTAATTTAAGCTACGGTGAATTAATTTGGACACGACCTAAATCTCGACGTCTTTGCCGCTTCGGCTTCGTCTTGAACTCCGGCTTCGGCTTGAGCTCCGTAAATGGTTACACACTGGAACCAAATAAAAAACACCGACAACTCTGACTGCCCAGCAAAGACATGAATCTTTTTGTACCAGGAAAAAAAACTTGCACTGAGCTTGTTGCTCTCAAGTCAGAGGCCCAAATTCATGAAAATGTGATCTAACATTTAGTGAAAATGGCGAGTCGAGTTTTAAGAAAGCGAGTTTTAAGATTTTAATTCAGTGCATCGAAACGAACCACTAACGTAAATGTTTTGTTAATTTTTATTATCTTATTAATATATTAATATTATTAGATATCTTATTATTTTTGTATGAAAGTGAAGCGTACAGTTGACCATAGCATGTACAATTAGTGTTTTGCTTGTACTTTATCCTCGCGTTTACAGTTCAAGACGAAGATTCAAACTAAAGTTTCCCTTGGCAGGAAAAGACCAATATCACTCCTTCGTTGCAACAGAAAAAAGCACAACAATACTCTAAAATAATTACAAAGCCTATTCTGGTGAATTCTAATTGAGGTTGGAACTTTTTGCATGAGTTATCCCTGCAAAGCCGTGTGTTCTCTTGGCTGACAGTAACTTCACTTAAAGCACTGCAGTTTTGTATACCCGTCTCAAGATACAGTATTTCGGTTCAGTTTTTATATTTTCTAAGTATACTTTTTATATGACTGAGTGACATCGATCGCTTAAGGGATTTCGTATCATTCATTTCAAGGTTGGATCCATCGGGACCAATTTTGGAGTGTCGGAGTGTCATTTTTTTTGGGGGGGGCGGAGCGATTAGATATTGAGGACTTCTTTATGGGACCACTCAAGCACTTGGCTAAAATTTGAGGCCTTTCACGTGCTTTCTAAAGGGAAGACGGAAAAGAATTTTAAATACCCCTATTTTGGGGTGCACTAAAGTCCGTTTGTTCCCGCCCCACCCCAGATTCACAGCAGTGTCATAAGCATCCGAACGGCCACATCCACTGATCGCATTACACGCACATTATGAAGTCAGAATTTGAATCTTATCACAGAATGCGTTATCCCAGGGGATGGGGGCGGGGGTCCGTGGGCTGTAGTAAGTATCACATCCCGTCCATTTTTCGTATCGAACAAATGAGGCAATGAAAAGCGAAATGGGAGAAGTGAAAGTAGAGAATGCAGGAGCCTAAATTTACCTGCAAATTTCACGTCAAATTCCTAGAAAACTGTCGACAAAGAGTGGCCATGGATGTACATATGCACGCATAACCAATAGCAGCCCGCTACTGTGTAGTAAAGGTTGGTGCAGTCCCCGTTTGGAAATGTTCAGCTTTCATGTTATGTCGCTCACAGGCTGTCCGGTTCGTAAGTGTGACGTTACTTCAGTTTAAACCACGCCCACTGCACATGCACTGCACATAGAGTTACAGGCATTGATCGCCTTTTACATGGAACCGGAAGTTAACGTGCAACTCCAGCGATCGTCCAATGGGAGCCTGCAAATCGTGGTGCATCCAACTTTCTGACGAAATCACTTGCGAACCGGATAGAGGGATCCCAATACGACGCGTTTAGCATCGATCTGCGCACTTCCGCGTTTGAAAACGAGGGTGTATGCGTCAGCTTCACACACACACACATTGACAGCGGCACGGCGAGATATACACGTTGCATATGCACTGTCTCAGCCACAAAGTGACGCCGTACCTGCTGCTCACGATAGTCGTATTACGATCATACGATTGAAAGGAAGGAGTCAAGACACAATACATAAAGATGTGTTAAATTCAGACTTTTCAGGCTGCACATTTTGGTGGAAGAGTTTGTCAAGATGACTCGATATGCGGCTTGAGAGTTGATGTGATCCTGGCCCATTAACTTGTCGATATCATGTGTATAACGTCCCCGGCCCGAGGAAACGTTGAAAACCTCAACTTTGACTTTTATCATACCAGTTGCCAACCCTTTTTGTTGAAAAGCCTAGAATTCATGGTACATGCGACTGAACCTTTGTGAACAATTTCGTCGTCATGAAATTTCTTCCGAAACTGGAAAGCGGCTCGCAGATAGTCACACGCATTGCACACAGTACACCGTTCGACAAAAAAATTGGAAGATCTAAATGAGCGAAATTCACGGTAGTATCCTGATAAATTCAACGACAAACAACCGATTCTGGCTGCATTAATTCTGAGCTATGTGTATGCAGCCAGAACATAAAATTCGTACTTCAAAAGAAAAAATAACGGCAATTTACCTCGAACTAACGTACCTGTATATGTGATGGTTGTATAGGTGTCTGTATAATGCATGTGCAGTGTCGAGTCTGCGGGTGTGCGCGACGAAGTTCAGCAGAGAGAGCCTCAGTTTCGATACAGATATGCGCAGGCAGCGCTACCGTGAAACCCCTCCCTGGAATGCTTTCATTCCACCTGTCAGAGTGCCCCTTAATAGGATACTGCCACATTGCCTCCACTGCCTGATAACGTCACTTACACCCCGCAGAGAGACGAGGACAATTAATAATTATGTCATTCCACCCGTCAACGCTCCGCAGATTTTGTTATAAATCACTGTTAATCCCCACCGAACAATTTGCCTCCCCTAAAATTGCTCCTGTCACTCCTCAGCCTCGCAAGAAATTAATGCATGGCATCAATCAGGCTTATTGGGCGAACTGTTGACCTCATTTTATTCAACTTAGCTTTGGCCTGACCTCTGAGCTCTCACATCAGGCATAATTCCTCAACCCTCCATTGTCACCAGTGTGATGAAATGATTTTTTGGGGGTTGGTTTAAGGTGAACTTCATATTTAAAAAACACATCTTCGACAGTTATTTGATTCATAAGTTCTAAAGTCTGGATCGGGAAAAAAAGTATGAGTCTCTTCACAGGGTATTTGAAATTGACATACGATGCGTGTGCGTGCTACCATAGCAGTAAAATCGGTGATTCTGTTTGCACATGAGTATTAGATTTTGCTTTCTCAGTTCTCAAGCCACTACTAAAGGAATTTTCCTTCAAGCACACAAAACTTGGATCCTTGTATTGTATCATGAACTGATCTGAAATAGATGAGTAGGGCGTCGGTTTCATCGTACTCGGTCACTCATTTAGAGATCCGATGTCATGTGCATTGCTTTGAAACGACGTCCTTTTTTATCCGTACATGTATTTGCTGCGGTTGCAAGAGAAAGAGTGCTGATTTCACTTAAAAAGTAGGGCCCATTATAGCAATAAGTGTCCAGAAACGCGTCCCGCAGGAAAGCCGGTAGAATTTTATTTTCACGTACATTAAGACTGAGAAAATTATTAACCAACAAAGTGTTGGTTAATTTGACCAAACCTGCATTTATAAAGACTGCCTGAAAATATTTGTGAATGACCACATCGACTCGTAAAAACCTTCAGGGGAAAAGAACAAGTATGCCAAACAGTCACCCCACACACATATTACACCTATATACAATGTATATTCGTGATTGAAATAAATTTAAAGATGTCGTTTCACGTATCCATTATTTTATTTGCTTATTATGCGATTAAAGTATAATGAAAATACCAGAACAGTCATTTTGGGGTGGACTTGTGCCGGTCTCTTGCCTCGTCCAAACATCCGAGCCCGACTCCGTCCAAAAGTGGGCTTGAGGCCGGTTAAGTCCTCTGCAACACTAGAGACGATGTTTGCAACACTGTAAAACCTCTCTTCGTAGGCACATGGAGGAAGGACACAGGAGTTACAACTCTGGCACATCAAAGTGCTCGATGTCATCGCTGCTTGGTCAGACGAACAATAGTAAACATTCCAAAAAATGCCTGATTATTGCCCGCAGCTTTGCCAGACAAGTGGGGCCAGTAAGCAATTGTAGCAATTAATGTTTGTGGTGTTTTCTTTGCCATCAACCACAACTTCGGTGACCAGGAAATAGAAAGAAAATATGTAACATTAGATTTTGATGTACTTTTCCATTATCCATACAATGTTTGTAATTTTATTTTGTTAGTCCAAAACGTCAGTTTTCAAAGTCTTTGTACAACTTTGGCTAAGACTGGCCAACAACATGTTGACCACCACAGGACAGTTCACGAAAAATAAAATGTGCTGTTTCATCACAAGGGGTGACCATGAGATCTCATAAAATACCTTTTTGTGTAAATTGTGTAATAAAAATCATTCAAATAAAATACAAAAAAACCTTAGGGATTTTTTTCCCCAAAATAAGTTCAGAAGAAAGCGTTAGATGGGCAATAGCTGCACATGAACACTGCGCAAGAATTAAATTTGACGTTGTTCTCAGATCATACCAAGCACCAGCGATTGCATGAATATTCAACTTCTTATACCGACGTACACGACGTTTTAAGGATCCAGATTACCAGCGAAAAATTGCGGCGATGATCGTGGAGTACAAAGGGGGCCTACGGTTGTGAAACAGGTGGTATATGCGTAGCAAGCATTCACTGCGCTCTGGCTATGGACGTGCTGGACATGCCAGAAAGCGGTGATTGGCTACATGTTATAGCCCGGGCAGTTCAACTCCTTCTGTGTCCTTCCCCCATGGGAGGCATTGCACGCCACAAGTTTTTTTCCCTGTAATTTCGAATCCATTGTTGTGAACCACAGGCTACCCCTTCACGAGCAATTTTCGCACAAACATTCAGTACCCACTTCAGTCCACGTGTCAGCACTATTATGTTACTGCTTAATACCCGTAGTTGCAGAACAATGCCACGCAGGTTTCAGTTTTCATGTACCACCAAGGAGAGAAGGTTTGCGCGTTTACCATGTTAAATCAACCTCTTTTGTACTAACAGTGCTAGTTGTGAGAAAAACTGTTGAGTGTGAACTCAAAGTTTGTAAGCTGTCAACTCTAAAAATAGTTGTTTTTATTGAGTAAATGCTTCCCCCTTGAAAAGCGAAATGTGTCAAACTGTCAAAGTCTTCTGTGGTCATCTAAACTCTTAATCTCTAGCCATGCAAAATACACAATGGAAGAACATTTCACATGACAGAAGTTTTCACAGTGGATTCATCTGCTCGTTGTGGGAGGAGCGAGTTTGTGCGATGAAGACTAACCCATCAGGATATAAATACGTACGCAGCATCTGTGTTTTAAACCTCAAAGATAACTTTGGCCGCGTGACAAAAAACTACGGACCAGGACCGAGGAGAACGTCAATACAACCGAGTATATGCGCGGCTGATGAGGAGAAAGGGGTGTGCTTGCCCTGGAAAATCATGGGAAAATAAAGAAAAGGATAAAAGAGGCAAGACAATGAAAGAAAAGAAAAGGGCAAGAGAAAAGGGAATGGAAATCGTCAATTTCCCAACAAAATACCTCAGAATCAGCCCCCCCCCGTCGAATGTTTTCACTTGTAAGTTCAGTCTGCTACTATTGCCTCCCCCGCCCTCGGCCAATATGCCCCTCCCTCCTGGCGACACCCCTCAGGCAGTGGCTTATCAACGTGATCACACTCGTTCAGTCTTCCCCCAAATATGAAGCCAAATCACCAGTCCCTCTTAGTTGGTCCTTAAGCCTAAGGTTCACATTTCCGGTAATTCGCGGAATTCTGTTAAAACCTAACCGGCGCTGTATACTTCTCACAAGCTGAATGCTGAATTCATCTCATGCATACAGTAACAACAATCGGGGCTTTTAAACAACCACGTTATTTCCCTTTTAACTTCATACATATACAGCTGAAAGGGGAATGTACCGTAAGTTTTTAAAGCACTGATTGCCACGATTTTCACCCCAAAAGCCTGTATAGCCAAATCCCAGCCATTTTGCTTCCATCAGAAGGCAAATTTGAAAAACGACTGTTCGGGGAACCATGCAGTCTAGGTGACAAAAACACAGCATGTAAACACTACGTAGGCCCTACAGTATGGTTCAGCATTGACATTGGATGACAGTCTTAAGCGGTATTATTTCAACTGCCTGTTTGCAAGGTTTTACTTTTCGACTGTAAGGTACTAATTGTTATTGTAATCTGTATTATATGTTCCCAGTCTTGCTTGGAACAAAACGTGCTCGGTAGTCGATAGTGATGTCTGTGTGTTAGGTGCACAGCGCATGCGTGGTTTTCATGTTCCTCCGCGAATCAAAGCAACGATCATATTAAAAGACCATTCAACTAGAAGCTGCGATAATTCACAGCCGCACTAAAGCACAGTTTTGTGCTTGGCCTGTCGAGCTTGTAAGTCAAGTGTGCTCTGCAGGATCTGTGAACAGTACTAACAACAACACTTATGTGTGAGGTCGTTTGACTGTCCATGGGTAGAGAACAGTGTTCCTGATTGAAAGGTGGTGAGTTGTAATTGGAAATGATTCCGCCACACGGACACTTTTTTTTCAGTTTTGCACGCGAACCTAGCTGTGTTAATACATGTATAGGTTGTCCCGGCCAATTTCGGGAAATGCGCTGTTTAATTTGTAAAATAAAAATTCACTTTCGCGTGGATTTTGAAAATGCCTTAAAACCTTGTTTCTTTTTTTGCAATACGAGCATTCGACTTCGTTTTGCCTCCTTCAAATAAATGAATGTGAATTACGTTTCATTAAAGAGGTTATAAATAAGTGATTGGGATTTCGATTTGACCTATTCGTTGCCAATAGTAACCAATGTGCAATCATATTCACCGAAAATCTGTCTTTTACCGTAAACCTTCGGTACTGAGTATTCATTTTCATTTGCTGTAATTCAAATTCACAGGTTCACTTTGATTAGAAATATACAGGGTTACAGTAATCATGACACCATAATGAATGTAATGTTACTCGTGAAGGATTATAGTGTGTTTTTTATCAAACTGTACACCAAACAAAGTCTATAATTTTTCTGCATCTTCCGGTTCAGCCATTGCAAGAAGGCCATGATATGTGAAATTTTATGTGATTGTGGCAAAAACGTGGCACGAGAAGGAAAGGTTACCTCGAGTCAGCGTCGGTGTATGTGTAGGATTCGTACAAAAGTCGGTGTGTTTCCAAAGACAACATGAATGGTTGTGTATCAGTCATGAATATTCAAACATTTAACCATTCTATAAACACTTCTAAGAATATAGCTTCTGTTAGTACACAAACAATTTCAATTCTTGACCAGGTATACCTCGAATACCACTTCGCTTCAAATGAAAATCGTGCTTTTGAAAGACTGCCAGATTCGCGAGATTTCATCCCTTATAGTTGGTATAATATTATGTGTCGTACTGTAGTGTACAGCTGTGTTAGTTATGTGGTTGTCTTTGATCGTCACAGCTATTGTACCATTATTTACGGTGATCTCTTGCCATGGTATTACACCTATGTTTGTCATAAAGAATAAACAGTGGTTTCTGGAGTTGGACATCATTTATGTTCAGTGTGTTCCCTGAGTGCTCTTCCTGTTTAATTTGGGGACGGAATCTCTGTCCTCCCACGTCTAACTGACGTGGAGCTGGTCCCGCTACATCATGAAACCTTTTCCTACAACTTGCGACAGATGTTGGAGTAAACAAATTTGAAAAATAGAAACCCGTTCTTTGTAAATTTCAGTACAGGCCTGATAATAAGAGTTCTACCCTTTTCATAGACTGATGAAGACGTGACGATTGTCGCAGGCAGAAACTGTAGGCTCTGTTGACGATGGGTTTGCCTCTGGTTCCGAAGAGGGCGCGGAACTGCATCACGGTTAAGAATGAGATCGTACGGGGAATGCTTGCAGAAATGGCTGGGATATTCGTACTCGTAGTAAGTACCTTATTGAAGTAAATCTTTCGACTCTCTGCACCATAAATATCATAAGATTACATGTATAAGTTATTCTTCAGATGTCTATGCTGTATACAGATATTTGCGATGCGCTGTGTTGAGATTGTTATTCCTACACTGTAGTCGCAAAAACACATGCGCACACACATGCGGTTTTTTCTTTCAATGTTTTCTAGGGGGCAGCGACCCCTCCCCCCACAATGCCCATGGACATACATGTAATAGTGAAGAGGCCCTATTCTAATTCAGTAATCAACTTGATTGGTTCCGCAGCTCTTTGTTGACGGGGGTCTCGCCGCGGGTATCGTTAGTGGATGGATTTCAGGGACACCGGTGTCTACTGCCGTCACGTCCGGAATGGGCGTTGCATTCGGGATATACACCGGCGTGGCTGTATCAGGTATGTGCTCAAAGAAGAAAATGTAAGGTTAAACAGAGAAAATCACTACGTAGGCTTTAAGTAATGGATTTATAAATACGAAGGATGTACTTGTCAGTTGTATTCTGAATTAAATGTTGGTATTTTTTACATTGTTGATAATCTTCTCACAAAACACCTTAAAGGCTTTCGGTACCAACAACTAGTGTACTTTACCGTAACAACAAGTGTTCATGTTTAACGCCTTTTGAACGCCTTCCCGGTAACACTTCATGGATGTGTTGTTGTGTTACCGTAATAATCTAAAGCTAATCACGTTGTGGTGTTCATTTTTTTATGTGTTTGGGTGTTAATAACAAGATACAAAAATACTTTTGTAGGATGATATTGGTAACCCTTTCTGAACACACACTTGTTTCACATACAAAGTGTGCTCATTCCTATCTTCTCCGGCGGTTAAGGTAACTTGGGAAAATGTTCCTTTTTCTCCCACTAGGGGAGCTCCTTCGAGCTGGATTTTTGATGATGATTGCCTGTATTGTTTCTCTTCATTTTGGCACAACAACCCTGACCCCAAAATGCCTCTGAAGTCTTTTTTCGGAGAGGCGAAAACATTGTGTGGACGTGTGCGATTCCACACAACGCCATCACACCTTACATTATGGGACTTCCTTTGTGCAGAGGTCCACACTATGTAAGCCACACGCGCACACCGAAACACGTTTATTTCCAAAAATGTTCAATTTCAAACGATTACATTTTGCAATTTTAGCAAAGACGCGTTTATGATTTGGGTTAGTTTGTACAGTGTGCTTTTGCCGCCTTTGTAACCGCAGGGGCACGGGCATGCGTACATCACGTTCACGTTGTGGTGAATTTTTCACTCATTTTTGTTTACTTCAAAATCGAGTCCCAGTGAAAGAATGTGTCTTAATCCCCTTGGCGTGCAGGTGGTCACGTGAATCCCTCGATTACAGTCGGCTTAGCGTCCGTCGGCAAGTTTCCATGGCGACGGGTACCACTCTGGATCCTTGCTCAACTCGTTGGCGCCTTGTGCGGTGCTTCGGTTGTCTTTGCAATATACTATCGTGAGTATGAACTTCTTTTTATAAAGGCACGAAACTGGAATTCCATGTATCAAATTTAAAAAGTAAGGGGAAGTATTATAAGACGGAAACTCTCTTTTTGTTCTGAAACTGAAGCTGCGATAGATAGAACGTAGGTGGTAGTGGAAAATGTTCAGTAACACTGGCACTCGCCTTTTTCTATTTTTAAATCTGCGTCCTTCACGTACAAAAAAACAGTGATCCGAATCGTGATACCGGTAAATCAAGCAAGCATATGATGCAAGATATGGGGCGGAGAGAACCCCCCCCCACCGCCTTTGTGTTGGTTATTGTTTGATCGGAATCTCAGAAATTCTTTACAGACTTCTAGGGAGATGTGAACAATAGTCTAGAGTGTGTATAGGGATTGGATATGTGGGGGGGGTACCCATCGGCCCTCATGTCGTGCACGGTATCCAAGCAAGTGTCAACCGCCCAGTTTTAAGTGTTTTCAGCATCTCATGCGAGTTCTATTGTCCAATGGTTTTTGGGTATTTATGGAGCGCCTGATCTTTTTGTGCGTTAGTGACTTAAAGATACAAATGTATTCATTTTGGGAAGTCGTATGATTTATGATTCCTATTGTTTGCGTAGTTTTGGAAAATTTTGCGGCTCGTAACCCTCTCGACAGCAAAACGTATTCCATTATCGACGATTCATCGTTTTGCCCGAAGCTTTGTGCTTTATTTTAAATCCCTTCGAAGAGCTAGGTTTACTGAACGACAAAACGATTTCTCATGCGTGTATACCTCAACCATTTCTTGTTTACACAGCCAGTTTTTGCCTGGATCAGTTAGATGTTAACAGTCACACAGACAAACCGGAACCAGTTGGTACCGGTATTCATTATTCAGTAAGGGTCACCAGCGTACGGCTTTTGACGAGGTAAATGGATGCCCTTGACGTTATCCACAGGAGGAGTATCTTCTATAGTATCCAAATAATTGGATAAAATGTCACAATCCACAAAGCTTTCTTTGATCTCAACCTTATCATCTGTTGTCACTGTACGGATTCCTCGTACTGCTTTGTTCCATCCTCTACTAATAATATTTACCACCATTTTTCTTCAAGGCGAAGTGCTGGCAGTGCACTACCATAGTCTCGCAACTTACCGTTCCCAGTAGCTGCGACTGACCCACAGTTGTGTGAATTGTAGTTAAACGATTCGGTACCTGAAAGGAGCCTTTTCACCCATTCTTGAAATATGTGCAGTGTATTCAATTCGGCTTAAAACTGTCAACTTTATCTAGGCAGTAGCAAGTGGTTGATATATTGTTAAACTCAGAAGCTGTTGTCAGCAGCACCACTGGGCAAGCCATGAAATGCTTTTGGCAAAGCGTATTCGTCACAAGTGAGCTGCCAAGAGAAACCAACGAAAAGTGTTGCATTATTTTCATTTCCAAAAACCCTCACTGTTGCATCGTCACTCTTTATGTCATATTTCTGTCTCGTGGGGGTTTTACCACTGTTGAGGTCTTTCACAGAAAGAGAATGTTCTAATTATGAATAAAGCAAGTAACTAAGTGATAGCACGTTCTTTTCACGAAGCTTCCTTTGAGCTGAACCCTATGACCAGTTGTTACTGTTTGGGATCTTAAATTTGTTCTTTCTCTTTCTCAAATCGTATGAAATCTGCTATTTTCAAGATAGGCCTATTACGCTGGCAGTGCGGTATACGGGCGCGCAATTCACGAGCTCTCCCATTACCTTCGAGTGCCCTACATTCACACAGGCCGAGTTCGGGCGGCTTGTTCCCGTATGTTCACGAACAGCTCGATTTGTTGTTCGTGGGTCGGCCACTCGAACGCCGGAAACAAACAACCGGTTATCACAAGCAACATACAACATGGCGACGTCCATGTACGTTATTCGAGAGTTAAGGTTTGGATGGGCTGAATTCTGAAAATAATTAATGTTAATTTTGCAAAACTTCCCAAAACTTCCCATTGTCTACATGGTCTATGGCTTTGGAAGCCATCTCTCTACTTTTTGCAGCTGTTCAAAAATCAAAATCTCACGAGTTTTTCCGTGTGTTCCTGTAAAACCCTGACGATATTTGGTGTGTGATCCTGTTCCGAAAACAGTGTTCTTGAGTCGTGTTCCCGCCGTTCGAGCGCGAGAACAAGAACCATGTGTCAAAAACAGGCCGCCCGAACTCGACCACAGTGTCCACTGAATACCTCTTCCAGATTAGAATGGAGCCTATTCACCAATTTTTGAAATATTCGCACAGCCTCTTCAATTCGGCTTAAAGTGTCAAAAGTGACAAATAGTTCGTTTGTCATTGAACTCAGCAGCAGTTGTTGACAGATTAGAGCCGTTAAGCAAGCAATATATCAAGTATACTTTTGGTAAATCCGAGTTGTCACAAGACGGGTGACCAAGGCTGTATAAGTTTTATTTCCAAAACCTTAACCTTTGCCAAAGAACTCTTTGTCAAATAAAGCAATAATTACAAGAATATTTCTGACGTTTGCATTTAGGCCACGTATTAAATTAACTGCTTCATTCCCTACACGTGTCGTGCACGTGTTGTTTTTAAAATTTGGGTAAATGCTCATTGCAACTTTTTCGGGAAAATAAGTAAAATTGAAAAGGGAAATTCATGCAACTTTAGTGGATAATACTGGTATTGTTTTGTGTGTGTTGTAATCAGTATTTTGTTTTTAAACAGGCATAATTATTTTGGTTGAGGTGAGTCCATGTACATTGATGGCAAATTTTAATGAAATTAAATAGGCCTAGTCTTAATACTAAATTATAAAATAGCCTTCATTAAAGCACTTTGGGTTCGTGTGTTGTCTCTCTCGGAAAACAAACACGCTTTGCCTCCCTGTGTTCGCAGAGGGCATCAATGCGCTGGATGGGGGTAACAGGACTGTCTTCGGTGACACGGGCACCGGTGGAATCTTCTGTACTTACCCGCAGGAGTACTTCGGGATGGGTCCTGGATTTGTGGAGCAGGTGAGTCTTGGGTCTGCATGAAAGATCGACGAGTGTCAAGGGAGCGGCACCACGACACAGACACCCATACCCCTTGCTCTAACGGGTTAAGCGACCTTCCATGCTCCTTCGCTTTGCCCGTGAAAAGTTTGAGTCTATTGAATGAAAACTGAATTTGACAACACAGAAAACAAGGAATTGATTCTAGGTTTTATTACACGGCATGGGAGAGGGGGTTTCACAATGCGGCTGAGTGCTTCAACCTTCTGCTTACAAATAGCTTGACAAATTAGCAACGTTGAATGCATTACCAATGAGTAAATTATACAAATTTCATGTAAAAATATATATGTACAAAGTGATCTTTCGAGCATGTAAGGTCAAATAATTATAACCAATATAAAATTCCAGCAATTTTGTATCAGCTAAGATTGAACTATACGGGTAGGAAACAATGCGTATGCAGTATGAGTGACTTGATATTTCTGTATAGAACACAACAGAGCACTGTTCTTTTAATAATTACTACGCTCACGATTAATTCTAATGCCACTAACTTTAAGTCGACAAAACATTACAAAACTTCATTAATACAATTTCAAAATTTGTCTTACTAGCTATATTTTGCTTGTTTCGTAAATTAATCAAAACCACTGCTGTGTGAACTGCCAGATACGAAAACCACAAAAAAACACTCAATGGAAAAGTGGAAACAGTATACCTATGTATAGTTATACATAGTATAACTATGCAAGTCAACGCTTTCAGGCTAGCGGTAGCAAGGGCCGCATTTTGACGATTTTTTTTGTGAGAAATAAGGATGCTCTAAGAAGTAGAGACTGTGTATATATGCAGTATTAATGCAAAACTCATAGTCTTCCATTATGGTTCTTCAGGGTGTCTTCCTGGAATCCTTCTTTCATGACAAATGAAACGAAACTCTGGTGCATAGTTTGAGCAGGCGAAACAAAAGCTTTTCTTCCATTATAGCCCTTCGGGGTGTCTTCCTGGGATACTTAAATCCTGACAAATAAAAGCAAAACCCTGGTGCATTGCTAAAGCAAGCGAAACAAAAAATATTCACCGCCAGGGCCCATCTGGCCCATTGGGGCGTCTTCCCGGAAGCCTTCATTCAAGACAAATAAAATGAAAAGTGCGGTGCATTGTCAAAGCAAGCGAAACAAAAATCTCTTCCATCATGGCCATTCTGGCCCTTTGGGGTATCTCTTTAAGGAATCTTTCATTCATGAAAAAAGGAACAAAACTCAGGCGCAGAGGCACTAAGAGCTTTCCTGGAACCCTTCATTCGTCACAAAAGAACAAAAATCAGGTTAGGACAAACAAGCGTCATCCCAAAATCCTATATTCATGACAAACATACTAAACTCAGGTGCATTATCAGCACAGTTCCTGCAGAATGCATTAGTCATCATAAAGGAAAGACACTCAGGTGCATTTCTTCCCGGAATCCTTTACTATGAAATGAAGCAAAAACAAAACTTGGGTACATTCTTAACAAGTGTCTCTCCGGAATCCTACCTTCGTGAACAAAATAAATAAAACGCAGGTACTTTATTAACACAGCCCCTCCCGGAATCCTTCAAACATAAAAACGCTCTTCATTACGTGAAGAGTAAGCAATTAAATGACTGAATTGACGTATAGCGGTTGCTTCTTGATTGCTCATAATGGATGAGGAATATGACAGCTTGCAAGGTAGAACAGAAAGCAGCAAAGATGCAAGCTGCCTTGAGATATGAGGGTCAGCATCGAAATGATGGTTGGGAAGACTTAGTAGAAGGTGTGGGATCCACATGCAGGCTCTCCGTGCATTATTACCATGAAGGGAGGAGGCGAGCGAAAAACTTTGCACAAAGAACAATTTTAAAGGATCCATGAAATGATTTTTTTAGCACTTTTTGCATATCTCTGTACTCTTCTTCAGTGTATAAGGACTGTTTGACATCCTTTTTTGAGTTGCACGAACAGAAAAGTGCAAGGTTTGGCTTAGCGACCACCATCTCTAAAGTGGGCCGGTTCCTTTGTGCCCTTATCCGTTAAAACAGTGTATTGGTGCAAGACGTTGCTTATTTAACCATGGAGGAAAGACTTCCTCCATGCTTAATCGTCAAAGAAGTAGCCACACGCAAGCTGAGCTTGTCTGTCGGTGGGCTTTGTCTCATCACTAGTGAGAGAAACGTGATCCGATTCTCGCCTTCTACAGATCATTAACACGGGCCTCCTCCTGCACTGCACCTTAATGTTTTTCGACGAGAAGAACGGCAAACCGACCAAAGGGATGGAGCCGTTCTTCGTGGGTCTGTCAGTGGCTATGATTATCCTAGCGTGGGGCCACAACGCAGGCTCACCCATGAACCCAGCCAGGGACTTCGCTGGCAGGTTTCTTACATGGATAGCTGGCTACGGATCTGAAGTCTGGGTGTAAGCAAACAATCCAGTCTTTTTAGCCTGTGCAGTTCTGGCATTTGGAATGCTCAAACAGGTAGTCTTGGTTCCAATAAGATCTCTTTTGTTGAATTTTCCTCCCTCGTGGAAAAAAATATCGTTTGTTTTCGTACTACCGAACACGTTCATCGTACTGTAAATTTTATCTGATGAGGATCGAGTATTTTTGTGCTTTAAGTGTTTATGTATAGGCCTACGCACAGCAACAAAATAACGTCTTGTGTCCAAGACCCAGCAAAAGCACCCCCTCATCAGTTGAAAAGAGTCATTTTGATCGGGAATATTCATTTTGTTGGTAGCAACGGCCGTAATGTGTGCATTTTTGTAGTCGTTTGTGAACCAGCAAAGTTCTGTTCCGACCAAAGAAACTTCTGCTGCTATGAAAATCGTGCCCTCTCTCGGTCCAGCTCGAGGATCAAACCGCAGCCAGCCTGAGTAGCATATATCGAATATGGGTATGGCCCCAACCACTTGCCTCCGTAGGTCCACGTACCTTTTATTCTCGGCCTAGCCGGCCCCACACGTAGGGCCGTAGTGGCTCTCCTTTACAGTCTGTGTGGCTAATAAGTCGCCACACAGCTAGCCCGACGCACGAAGCACTGCCTTCCTTTTTCAAAATGGCGCCGCCCATGGTCGGAATATAAATATTTCAGGCCGGGTTTTTCAAGGAGCCACACATCGGAAAATATACGGTTTTGGAAAGCTTTAGGGTGCTAATATAAAAGTCCAAACTCTGAGAAATACATCGGTGCAAGTAAATTGTCGAGTCATTCTCATTTCGGAAGAGAATTATTAGGATTCAAAGTTTGTGACAATCCTGCAGTTTGGATTTCAGGCATTAAAGACATGCCTTGAAGTAGGGCTGTGGTGGCTCTCTTTTACAATCTGTCTCTTATCAGTCGCCACCACAGCCCTACGTGTGGGGCTATTCTCGGCCATGTTTGGCAAATTTTGTTCGCGGCTCGCCTGCTTGGTTGAAACACCTAGGCCTACCCAGTATCAAAGTAGCTTCTAGCTCGCGGAGGGTACCTTCGGTATGAACACGCCTGACCGCCACACTCCATAATTCTTGAACAGACCTCGGGGAGTCCACTGGTGGTGGATTCCCACGTTCGTCCCGCCCCTTGGGGGAATCGTCGGGGCCAATTTCTACTACCTGTTCGTCGAGCTGCACCACCCGAGCGATAGCGAGGTGGTAGCTGATCACGGGAACTCGGAGCTCAGACAGATCCAGAATGAGGACGTGAAGCTGGTCGGTAAGTCATCATGTAAGTCGTGTAAAGTTAACGTCACGTGTACAGGGATATGATGCTCTCAGTCACCACTCGCATCAGATCAAATTGTCAGACATACCCAGTTAAGACATTTCTTCGCATGAAAACCTGTACGTCTGCGTTCGAAACCATAGTGACTGATGACCTAACGGGCTGGTCTCGTGAGAGACAGCTTTGGACATCTTTGGATTAATAGTAAATAACCAAAGGACAGGATCAACGGGAAAAATGCTGGTGAGGAAATGTAACAAATGTCTGGGGTTCAAGTCACAAATATGGTTCTATAAGTGACAAGTCTCGTTCAGCAGACGTTTTGACGGGCTGCTAATCTTCTATTTGGAAATGGAGATCCATCTCGCTGTTCATCTGTGTCTCCGAAAGTGCGCGCTCTATTGGACAACCTCTGTCTTAATTGAAACCCTATTACTGTACAGCTCGGTCAATTTGACGTATACTTTCAATGAATTTATCAAAAAGAGACAAATAGTTTTGACGAACTGTGGGGCTGTTACAGTCACGTAGGGGATTATTCACACTTCCAAAATTGTAGTTGTTTATCAACAGCGTCTCTTCCATGTAATATACTACAGGGTGAATACCATGCAAGTTAGGTTTTACACACTATAGATAGAGGTATTAATAGTGTTTTTTTTTCGTTTCTTTTTTCAGATATCAAAGTTGCGACTGAACCCATTTCTGAGTGACACTTTATGACAGAATGGTGAAAGCTGGTGAGCAAACTTGATGATAACACTGTTGGTGTCACTTAAGTTCTTGGCATCCGTACAGAACAACCATTTGAAAAAAACATGTAGCCCCTCACCTGAGATTTAATTGTACGTATATTGATAAGAGTCACATAGAAGTTTGTTGGAATGGGTATCTTTAATTCATATCTACATGTATTTGTTTACGTAAGTTTAAAATCATTTCTAATCGTTTTAGTTACAATGCTTTGGAGTCGCTCAACCTATCCTATTGTAATGGCTCTATTGCATATATATTTATATAGATCTATATATATTCCCAGTATTTGTTTAACTGTGTTATGCCTTATCTTATAGGCTAGTTTTAGCAGTTTTGCAGCTATCTGTTCTTTGTGTATGTTGTATGTTTGGCAGCTGAATATCAGTCAAGCAATTTGCAGATGTTCGGAATGCTTACAATCCAGTCATAAAAATGCCATTTAGACAATAATGATCATTTTTACAGAAGATCAAGATACTGTTGGATTGCATCATGGCTGTAACTTGATCAAAATATACTTCGGTCGTTTTTGAAATACAATAAACATTCAAGAATTGCAGTGACCGTATGTGTAAGTTGACAAATCATGGATCATTATGATGGTATATTTTGATTGACTTTCGTTTTATACATTAATGTAAATAACTCAATAAGCAGAGTGAATATTCATATCAGTATGTGTTATTAATGGACGTTGTTTTAATATACTCATTGCAGTGGTTATCTTTGTTTAACCGTTTAAAATTGGTTTGTAACCATATCCTTTTTTTATTTATGAGAGAAGGGCATTGTAATGTAAGCACTGTATGGTATGGGGAAAACCCTAATCTGGGAGAGGTATACGCTGTGGTTGAACCATTCGAACCAACGTCTTCATTGACATAAGTATCGAAATTGTAAATTTCAAGAAAAAAAAACCTGCAGAACAAAATGACCTTTTCTATTCGCTCTAAATACAGACGATTGACAATAGTGCGCCTCCAAGAGTTTCAACGGGTTGACCAATCACAACGCGCAAAATCTGTCGACCCTTTCTAAACGCGCATTTGGTCGACAGTTTTCGCGCATTGTGCTTGGCCAACGCGTTGCAAACTGTTGGAGGCGCACTATGTGAAACGCCCAAGGGTACAGTTTCCCTTTCTCAAAAAAAAGCTTTGTACCCAATACAATCTGTATTACATTACACACAGTTGCCATTGGGGTGACCAGACTTGAAGGCGCGGGGGGGGGGGTTGAAATTCAATCGCCGTACTACATGAATGAAAGAATCGACTAGTGATAGAGGGCGCAGTGACAAGATCCGCTAAGAGCTGATTTGGTGAGCCCTCGGTTGACTTAGCCCGCCTGAAGCAGAATACATGAACGGAACTGCAGGCCTCTGTCTATTTACGAAGTTAACTATATGCGTCCACACGAGTAAAGTCAAATAGGTATTCTGTTGTAAGACTAGACCCGTGTTTCTGTGCCAGGAACAGAATTTGATCACAAATATGCAAATGATGTTGTTTAGTGTTGATCTAAAAGCTTCTATGAAAGCAGGAGATGACACACTTCCACTGTTTCTGTCTTTACATAATTCATTTACTCTTTCATTCTGCATCACAATTGGTAAAATGCTATCGATTTGGTTGCACATATATAATTATTGACTGCTAAAAACTGTTACTGAGTTAAACATTTCCATTTTATTTGGGACATTTTACTGAATTATATAATTTGGTACAGTATATATAAACCTGGAAATGCCCCCGGAAGTAACTCGACCTCGTTTGCATGTGTAGAGCAGAGAACAACGTCGATCCCAGGTGAGCGTGCCATTTCAATTTATACTGTCCTCGTGAAAATACACCGAGCTTTAGTAGTGCAATTTCTTGTGCCTCGCATACGCAGCACCCTGACATTGGACCCACGGCTTTGTTGGTTGCGGCTTCAAATGAATGCGTGCGCCTGTGGAAGTTACCACTGACAGGCTCGCATGAAAAAAAAATGAACCTGTGACGTAGCAAAAGAAGGGTCTACTATTTCATACTTAAAACACACAGGCCCCCAACCTGTAGTGCCTCATGAGAGCTGAGCAGTCATCAGTCATTCAAGCTGTTGGAGATCTGAAGACTGCCGGAGGGGTTATGAGGCATTGCAAGGTGTCCAGTGGCTTTGTTATGATGCATCGCTTCTGTATCATCCGAATTAGCTGGTTTACGTATGTTCCCTTCCTCAACTTAGTTTTTCTTCTTGTTCTGGGTCGTACACTGAACGCCAGCGATACGAGCTTTTATGATACAAACGAGACGCCTGATGGAATAATTTTGTTATTCAATGATCTTATGCAATCAAATATGCAGCAGTCATTTTCGAGCAGTGAAAATACGTTTATTTCCCCTCTTTCCGTAAAAAAAATCGTGATTGAGTTGTCACTGGGATGTGAAACGCATAAGTATGAAGCCATCGCGGAACTAAAGGCCATCCTGATGGTCATTAGCTCGAAAAGGTTTTTAAATCCAGATTCACGAACTTACAGAGATATAGTTCGCTGTAATTTTACTCTTGTCACAGCGATTTATTTCGTAATTTAGTAGGGTTTGATGTGGAATAGAAGAATTTTGTAGGGTTTAATGGTATCGATAAAAATCAGTTTGTCAAGGATCGATACTGGCTTCTTACGACGATGTTGCATAAAATGGCTCAATATCACTTTAAAAAGCCTTTCTACTTTTGGCTTTATCGTGTGTGTCATTAGAAACGTCCATTGCAAATATACATGTGGGGTACATCTTCAGGAAAACCCCTTCAAGAAATATTTTCAACGGTTTATATGTTGCACACTATGTTATTAACACGCGATGTGGCGTCTGCATGTGAGACTACGGCATACACAGGTATCGAACACTGGCTCCGGCTCTTCACCGCTGCCTCATTTGATCAAAATTAGAAGCCGTAGTCGCAAGAGACAGGACAAGGTTATGCCAAGTCGTGTCATGCGCCGCCCCGGCCCCATACAACCCCATGTATTAACTAAACAGGCAGTGCACATGAACATACATGTACGTGGGTTTCACCATAGGTTTCACAAATTTCACACACTGTGATGATGTTTCATTGCGTTCTGGGCTACAGAGTCCTTCGCCATTGGGAAGGATGCCCTTTGAAGACTCTGTCCACATTTTATGTGAACAAGTCTAGCGCCATCTCGTGTTGATATCTTGATATCAGGACAAATCGACCACAGATTCTTCCTGCTCCATATCGCATTTACACGTCGAGTATAAAAAACCGTAGTAACACATTGATAAATGGAGGAATTGCACTCTGAATAATTTTCATTTTAGAAAGAACAATAAATTTATGTTTAAAATGTTATCATGATTATGGTACTTCTATTGTAAATAATATTGAAATGATAATATTGATCTAAAGTAGCAATTACCAAACATTTCGTGACTAGAAAGGGAATGCCTACTACTTGAATAAATCACGTTACTTCAACAAAAATTGTGAATATGTAAACAAAAATTTTGAATATGTGAAGAACGATTCTGCTTCGATCTCAATTCAGTTGGCACCCCTTAATTGTATATTACCATGTGATATATTATTATAGTGACCCCTCCATACTCAGATGACTGAAATTCTTCTGGATAAATTGAAAGTTGAAAATTGGGATAGTGTTTAAGGTGTGACTGCTGACTCGTCCGAGCCTCGGCTGTGGCTCCGGGCCTTGCTTCGTAGCGCCTCGATACTCTGCTTCTTCATCAGAGAGTGCGAGTCCATGTGGAACTCACCGCCAAGGCTTGCCGGCTTCTTGGCGGGGGGCGATGCGGCGGTTGACAGTTCCTTTGACTCGGTTGGCCTCAGGCTCGGAATGCGCAGGCTGGATAGGTGCCATGGGACCGGGAAGGTGGCTTGCCGGGCCAGCCAGTAGGAAGCAGCGGCCTGCTGCTGGTGGTGCTGTTGGGCGTAGTGGTGAGAATGGCCGGGAGCAAGGTGGTGCCCAAAGAGCGGGTAGCCTCTGACCATGGAACCGAGACCGTGCTGTGCAGCTATTGGGACAGGGACCTGCGCCAGTAGCCCGGGGTTCATCCCGGCGGGGCTGCCGCTGTGCATCGCCCAAGCACATTCTGTAGGGATTGACGAGTCCAAACCATGAGAACCCACTAAGTCACTTGGATAGTGAGAACTGAAGTAACCCGAGGGACTCTCCCGACTTTGCACCTTCTCCATCTTACGCCATTTCGCTCTTCTGTTCTGGAACCACACCTGCGCTCAACAAAAAAATGCAATTTTGATCATCACTTTAACATAAATAATAAAAAGTACTATTTTTTAATAATACAGAGGATTTGCCGACAAAACCGAAACCTAAAAAAGTATCTCTCGTGTTTTCATTTAATTCAGTCGTCTACCGATTGTCAGTGCCAACTGCTTCACAGTAACAGTCCCCACAGATACCCGTGTTTTTCCAAACGGAATATACAATTTCCTAATTACCTAGGCAGCAGCAAACGACTGGCGAAGTGTTTGTGCAAATTAGAAATGAATGTACAAGGTGCTTGATCCGTCGCCGAAGGCCCCAATCTATTTTCCAATTACTGGGCTCATTTGGTGGCAGATGATTGAGTTATATTGTTTTGATTAACAATTCATACTTTCTCATGAGCAACAGTAAACGTGCAGTTGAATATTAAGACAATAAACTAGCTCCATATAGTATAATTACTGGTTCATGCCCGATGTAAATTGGATATTTCAACTGTTTTAATCAACCGCGTCATTCAGGTTAGATTATGAATTCAATTAATATTTGCAGTATAATGCAGGTAGGTGCAAATTGCTTGTGTGTGTTTGAACGACGCTTGAATAAACAGGGAGAATTTACGGTCATCCATATCGATTGCCAGTTGCAATACATTGTAGGCCCCAAGTTTCCTTAACAATTCTCTGCTACAGCATTCTGTGCAGGTTCGAGGCACTCTGAAAGACATACCTTCATTCCTTGTTTTAAAATGTTAAACTTGACAGCCATTAATAACTTGAGCAAAAGTCAAACCGGGTGCATTTCATTATAGATGAACAATGAAGGAGCATGAGCAGGATGGTTTGAAAAACGCAAATGATTTTCTTAATAGATGAAAACCCAATTGATTATTGATTTTAAGATGTAACCTCCTTTGAAACGTGACTGCTTAAACTGGCCGGTAGCAATGACGTATCCATGGGGGGCAAGTTGTCGTGCCGGGGGGACATGTTGCCATTTTTTAAGAATTGAAAGCGCCAATACTTTATAAATGTAAATATTACAAGCCCTTTCCTTTTGAGGGGAATGGTTTTAAGGATTAAAATGTTTTACAATCGTTTCAGAGAAAAATTTCCATTTGTTCATCCCCCACGCGGATAAGACACTGGCCGGGTCCGGAGCAATTACGTCTCCGTCCTAAGAATTCGACGCCCTCACCTGAACTCTCGCCTCGCTCAGCTCCAACCTCATGGCCAGTTCCTCCCTGGTGAAGACGTCCGGGTACTGCGTCTTCTCGAAGGCCCGCTCCAGCTGGTGCAACTGATAGGTGGTGAAGGTGGTGCGACTTCGGCGCACCTTCCGGGCCGCCTTGGGGTGACCGGTGCCGTCCCCGTCGTCAGCCTCCCCGCTGTCCTCCCTGCCCGACGACTGGGGCGAGGCGGGCTCGGGCGAGGAGCTCTCGCCGTGCTCGCACGGCCCGGCCGCCAGCAAAGGCTCGGGGTCCGAGTTGTACGGGTCGGAGCCCGGGGAGTTGTCGGTGCTTGGCCTGTGCTGGAAACCCCGATTGGGATCGCTGGGAACTGCGTCACAATGATTCCAAAAAAAAAAAAACAGACACCTGAAATTTTGCTTGCATGTCCACAGACGTATGCTTTTTTGTCAAGTGCATAGGTCCTACGTTTAAGTTCACGAGTCAGCAACTTGATAAAGAGTAACAGTAATAGTTGCCTTCAAGCAACTACCGGAATTCCATGCTGTGCGGAGCATTTGTGAATGATTACACTCCCTTCCATTTCTTTCCTCCAATATGGGTTGCTAACCACACACCCATCTTCCCAGATCGACTGGCAAAATCTTCGCAAAAGAGCTAAGCTTGAGAGCCAAGGTTCAGACCTCCTTTTGGCCTATTTGAACAGAAGATATCTATTTGAACTGGTCTATCAAACAGCAGGTTCCGTAGCCAGACGGAGTGCTTAGGATAGATTATTTTCCCGACCATTACTGTGTGAAACCGCTTGGTTCTGTGCTGTTTGTTTAATCGCCGGGTTCTTCGGGATCTTTACTTTCCTAGTCACCTGTTAATCTGTGAAGATTCAGTGGGACCGAAGTAGGATGGAGCTAAATTCGTGTAGCTTTCTTTTTTCTTTGTTTTCTTTTTTTTTTCTTTTAACATTATTGCGTTAATTTTGTATTTTATGAGCAAACTCAAGTTCTAATGATGGAACTCGATTTTTTTTTCTGATGTGTGCAATGCACAGGCACAAACTTTTTCGGTCTTTTTGGAGTGGATGTGCTGAAAGGTACCTCTTTCTCAACCCCCGAGGTGAAAAACATTGCCTCCAGTACCCTTACTGGGCGTTTCTTTTCAGACATTCGCCTGCTACGCCATTACATTTTTCAAAGAAAACTGAAGAAACCGGAGCGTTCAAATTACAGTTTTCTTACGACCGGTTGTCAGTGTACGGTGTGTACCAGCAGAAAATTTTTGGCTTCTGAGGGGTTCGTTCACAACCCTTCTTTCCACTGTTTGCAGAAATAATTTTCATGTTATTAACGTCGAATTTTCGTTTGGCGCACCAAAAAGAAAGCATCCCTTGTTTATCTACTCTGAATACTTATCGCGGCTGGCGTCGTAAAACGACATCCAGCGGGTTGCTTGTGAACAGCTCGTATGAAAGACTCAGCCAATGAAATTAGCGAGTTGATGTCGTAAAAGGTGAAGGGCCAGCTCGTCTCGATCATGATCGCTTGGACGGAACTGGCTAACGAGCGAGGTTTCGAAAATATGCGGGTGGACGGCGCGCGCGCGACTTTAATCTGTACACACACACACAAAGCTATTGTTGGCAGATGCGTCCACAACGGGAACCAATGATTAATAAGTTTGCTGACCGTAATTGCACGAAAAGTGAAGGCGAGCAAAGAATCCTTGAACAGACAAGCGAAGAAACGAGGCCAAAATAATTACAAGGAATTAATGATTATGTGGGCTTATCACATGCCAGCTTGTACTATTCTGATAACGATTTAATATCCAATCAACTTTAGGACGCAGTAGCAAAACTGGTCGTGAAATAAAATTCAAATCAACATCTTTTATTATATAAACCTTTTATGTATAATTAACCTCTATTTCCTATAAATCCTTTTCTAGTTATTAACGTACTGGTATTTTATAGAAAATTGGCATCTTTTATGTGAAATTGTTATATAAACTTCTGTTGGAATGTTGTTCAGGTTTTTTTCTCCAGAAATAAATATTTGGCCTCCACTTTTGTGCAGGGAGTTATGGTTTTCTTAACTAAATTTTATTTTCGAAAGAGGCTGATTTTTAGGTTAGTTTGTAATGAGTTTTGGAGAAAATATATTACTTTTATCTTTTAAACTACTGGAGTTGCCAGATTATTGGTGGAAATGATTTCTACAGACGGCATTAATGACAACTTAACTTCCCTTTTCAAGAAGAAAAATCAATAATCATTCTGAATGATTAAGTATCCCTTATTGTTCGAGAAATCACACAAAGATCTCTAATCCGTGCGTAAACCGTAAATGGGTGGAGAAATTTTGGCCATTTTTCGGCTTCTGCGCAAACTGGTATTAAAACGAGGATGTTGTAGTTAATTGCTTCGTAGTTTGTTGGGCTGCCCTTTTGAATAAAACGATATTTTGCAAATTTATTCCTCCAGTACCTCTGTAAAATTTCCCATGTGGGCACAGTGACTCCAAACAACGTGGACCTAAAAGCCGACATTCAATAACTGGCAATTTAAACATGTTGGGAAGCAAAAGGAGACATCCATCAGTATTACGCGTTTAATGGTGTTCATAATGGACAATTTATTTGGCGGATTCATTAAGTGTCACTCGGTACGTTGATGTTAGTGGCACAGTGATACATAATGTACAGTATTGTATGCAATACATGGAGAAATGTGTAGGCCATCAATTCACACCTCGGTACATGGCTGTTCAAATGTGCAAGCGCGGTACAGCTTCAGGTACTTACCGGTGGACTGTGGGGTCCTCTCATCCGGGTGCAACGAGGACCGTTGGGCACTGTCTCTCCCCTGTTGACACTGGGTGAAGTCCCAGCAACGTCTGGTGCCGAAGACGGGCACGCGGATGTGGCATGGCTCTGCCCGCGCCGGTGCGCTAATTGCGGACGGCGTGCCCAGGATAAAATCGATGCTGTAGTTGGACGGGGAGTGTCGTCGTACCACCGGGTTCTTCGCGGCTGATCCCACCCCGGTTGTCCCGTGATGTTGGCAGCTCTCGTTCAAGCCCCTTAGTGGCACTCCTCCGGTGAAGTCCATGACGTTAATAAGGGGAGAAAGTCAACAAGATCGACCAGTTTTGCGCACGGATCTTGCTTTTGGGTGCAGGCAGAAGGTCTATATTTTGCTTTACTTTTTATACTTGCATTTCAGAAGGCAGTTGCTCCTGGAGAAACCTGAACACTCTAAACGGTTCTTCCCTGATTCCACTGAAGTAGCCTATAGGTTTCTTCTACGGACTGATTACTTCAGACGCGTGAACACGTCTCGCTGCTGCAGTCAGGGACGCCCAGTAGAAAGCACCGGATTATATTGGCAACTGAGCCCCTTAAATCTGATCTGGTCTCCCACCAGTGACAGGCTCATCAATCAGGCTGCACGGTGAATTACTCCGGCCGCTGACCATAGCTTGCGGTCCTACATTGTAGCCTTTTGTCTACCTTCACAACCAAGGGGAGGGACCCACAGCTTGTCAGCTCGTGCGCACACGCGATCACCAGTATGGCAGTCTTTTCCAAAAAGCGTGCAAGTTATTAGCTGTTCATTAAGTCGACAGCCGACCGAAATGTGTTAAACATGCTGGTATTGCAATTAAAAGTGAGAACAGGGATCCACCATTTTTTTATGTATGAATTAATTATCTTTGAAGCCAGCTTGCCGAGTACAGTTTATCTGTTTATCAAAGCATCTCATGTCATTGGTAGACGATTACGGGGAAGCACGCACAACACTAGGCACTGACCAATCACCATTGTGATATCAACATCGAGTCTCTTACTAATTGTTTTCGCAAACCGGTTTCATCCAATCGTCGAAAATAATAACCTCCCGCGTTCAGTGGATGACGGAAGCAGCACATGATTGAACTACGGAATCAGGACGATAAGGAGCACATTTGTACACGTATGTACTCATGTGAATGGTCGCCAGAAATACTACTTATTCATTGTGATCTGTGTAAGTCTATGATGCTGCGATTTACAACTTGTGCATTCCCGGAGTTAAAAGAGCCCTTAAATACTAAAGGGAGAGAGAGAGAGCGGATGTGATGTGCTGACGTGTCTGACTTGTTCTAAGATTTCAATATTTCCGAATTTCCAGAATAAACTGAAACAAATCTTCATAGCGTGTTGATCGGAACAAAAAGTTAATGTCAGCTAATTTTAGAAATGCTCTTGTTTCTTGAATTACGACTGCAGTTTTCAACATAACAAACAAAAAATGAACAAAGTTCCAACTTTCCTGTTTGCCTATTATATTTTATTACTGCTGTGCCTTGTAAATGAATCTGTCCCATCCGTGCATTGAGCTTTAGGGTTTTGGGATGCCTTTGGAGTTTTTAAGCTGATGCCAAATTCCATATTCATGAACAAAAGACTGTGATTTAATTCCAAGCAAAATTGTCAGTGTTAAGATTTTTCAACTCCTCTATTTGCCAAAATGTGGGTTATTATGCTGTCTTGAACTTTCTTTTTTACGCGATTAACTGCTGTTTCATTGGCCAATGGACAAAGGTTTCTAATAGTTTCAGTGAGCAAATTTTTGATTCTCGATGTACACAGAAAACACCTGCATCGCCAGGACTTTTCAGCTGGGGGGGGGCTCCAGGGGAGAGCACTCGTCAACAAATTATTAATTTGTTAACGGTCAAAGAGGATCAGTTCTTACGTTTTTTCAAACAAAGGGGTAATTTTCATCCCAGTCCTCCTTTTTATCCGTTTTACTTGCTTTTTATATTTTTTTGAATTTTTCAGGTTTTATAAGGAAAGGGGACAACCGCTCCCCCTTCCCCCTGCGATGCCCATGACTACAAAATTCTGATCTGATCCCTGTGGTATACAGCATAATAATAAGGCCAAAGTTGGTGATGAAATCGGGGAAGAGCTCATTATTTTTTTCGGAGGCAGTGACTTAGCGGTCTCAAGATCGATCTCCAGTTCACTATTTAGTTACTCAGCAAGGGAACGGTTCTCGAGCGGAGACGGGATCGTTCCCCTGTACCCAGGCCCCGTTATATTCCTCAGCCACATGGCTTATTGACTCTTTCAGTAAAGTTCCATTATACATTTACTTGCGGGTAGTATTGTCGCTGGGTTTTGTATACGGAGAGACCGTCTTGGAAGAGTGTACCAGTGACTCCGTGTAATAGTTATCACACTTGCCGCTGGTATTAGCGAGGGACACCATGGATCCAAATTGACACAGGATTTACCACAGGATTTGTGGATTTACCACATGTCAACGTCCAGTTGTGTAAATCTGTGTTGGAGATAAAGGGCATGGGAGATGGGGAAAGGTTTGGGATGACTTGCCCGGCCATGGAAATTTGAAAAGCGGGGGGAGGGGACCATGTATACTATATTGAGGGCGATGTTCGTGATAAAGATATACATCTGTAATATGTATCAAATTCATGCAGAATCTTATATCAGAGTGGTATATTTATGGCTTTTAAAATCGTTTTTCCCTTTTAATGACATTGCAAACATCTTAGTCGTTGGGAACCCTGCAAATCCTTCACAACCCGCTTTAATGTTGTTATTCATCACAAATAATATATAACCCCCCCTCCGAGATTTAATCCCATGTCGATATCATTTTCTTAGTAGAAGGGCCAATGCAATCCACGCTATAAGTTCTTCAGCGGGCAATAGAAAAAAGTACAAAATTCAACAATATTTCCATTCAAAATGGACAGCATTGAACTACTACATTCATTTCTGATCACAATAACGGGAAAATCAAAAGAAATGCGTACGGATGAAGCCAGACGCGTTTGGTGCTTCAGAAATTACGGGTATTGTGTAATTCGTATAAAGCGCAGGTCTGCCTGTTTTATTCGAATATTGCCTTTGACCCTGGAGGCCCCATAGGCTCATATGAACACCCAGTCGATACCCACAAAAATGGATGTTCTGTTATACAGACCCAAAATCACTACTGTGTTAAAGATCACAATTTAATTTTTTTTTTTAGTATTATGGTTCTTTTACCTGTGAAGAAATATGTGTCAGGCCCTACGTCGACGCGCAGTTTTCATTGGTTTATTACATCAGTTTCAGCCCAACAGGTCCTTACAATCAGCAAATTCAATTTTCGATTTTGGTCACACTGGGCCTTCTTTGTCCCAGTAATGGCGTCCACTTTTGCAGTATTTCACACACAGGATCAAGACTGTTTTGAACTCCGTACGTTTGATTTCTATTTTCTTTTCTTGCAATCAAATTAAGACTCACTTAAGTGCACCAGGCTTTATAACCTTGGACGTGTTTTCGTTTTCGGTTCTTGTCTGTCTGTTTCAAACTTCAAAGAGTAGCTGCAATGGAATTATTTTCATACAAGCCACCAAAATGCCCCTTGTATGTCACTCTATACCTCATTTGCAATTTTTGTTTTACTCTTTCAAAGATCATTGGCTGCGTTTTTCGTTTTTATGATAATGAGTTTTCCGTACTCATAAGCAAAACTCTGATGTCATTCCCGAAAGAAAACCTCACTGTTTACATTGTGCATAAAACTCCTACATATTTGAAAGATTGTGCTGGCCTAAATTTTCTCTCTTTTGGTGTTTTATTTTTGTATGAGTACATAGCGATAAGCAAGCAATCATCCCTTCTTCATAAATGTTTTCAGTGACTTAATTCATGGTTGACTATTCGAACAGAAAACATGTGCACGATTACCAGTAAACCGTGTCCTTCCTTGATGATATCACTGCAACAACGCCCTCATTTGTCTATGGAAGCATGGATAATTTCAATGGATTAAAAAATGTACTTTTCGATGCATATAACCTAAAATGTATGTCAAAAAATGTAACAAAAGTCAAAATGTTGCAAAAAAGTATTGTGTCTGAAAAACAGTTCATTGCAGATGCACCTGAGGTGTTCTGTTCAGCGGTGATACGGCTTATTTGAGCAAATGTTGCAACTTTTACTTTAAGTGCTCTGCAATCAGGCTCTGACTTGAACGATTCTTCTGTTATCATTCTGTTATTTTTGTTTAAGGCTGTCTTAAATTGATTCGGGGTATTTTTTGTTATCTGAGCAACTTCTGTTCAATTTTCTTTTTTTTTTTTCCTTTGTAAAATTGTTCATACCATTCCAAACGAGACCTTAATGAGGGGTGGCACAAAGAGAAACACTCGTCTTTTTAACATTTAAACAATTTTGCTCTGTTTTCCGCGTATTAATTAACATTAACATTAACCTTTTTAACATTTATACCGTGCGCCTTACATTTCAAAACATTAATACTACTGTGCATACATCTAAAATATACATCAAAATTACAGACGTATACGGTAAAAGATATAAAATTATTCAAATGAATTCCAAAAACCATAACTATCAACTTTAATATAGGCCTACAATTATATTAAATTACATTACATATGCAATTACATTCAATTACAATAATTAGCTAAAGCAATAGGAAAAAACAAAGTACGTATGAGTGTTTATGTTACCAGAGGAGATAAATCACTGACGACCAAAAGCTTTGTGAAATAGGTAGGTCTTAAGATTGTTTTTAAAACTGTGTAAAGTTTGTTGTGACTTGACTTCGAGAGGCATTGAATTCCAGAGTGTAGGACCAACAACTGAGACTGTCCTATCGGTCACAAGTTTTTTTTCTACTTTTCTTTCCATGGAAAATTCACTCATATCATCAGTCGCATCGTGACCCTCATCACCTCCATCAGAACCATCAATACCATTACCAACACCAACACCATCATCATCATCAGTCCGTATCAACCCTCTCTAGGGCGAAGACCTTTCCCAAACTGTGCCCTAGAAAGCCTGCTTCTGTTCTGTGTACATTCTTTGCCAGGCTGCAGTTCCCACCTGGCTCCCAATCCCTTCTCTCCATCCAGCTCGACATCTACCACGTTTTCTAGGTTACCATATTGTTGTGATTTTGCTCCACCCATATTTTTTGTCCCTCTTAGGTGTCCAGCCCATCTCGCTTTTATCCTTTTTGCTGTTACTGATTTTTGTTTGATCCGTAATTCGAGCATTTGTTCTGCGATCTCTCCTCGTGTATCCAGCCATCATCCGTTCTAGGCTTCTCCGGCTAAAGCACATTCCACGGAAACGAACTGGAATGGCATTATATCATGGTTTACCAGTCGAATAAATTAAATTTTCTTCCCGATGCATGACTTTTAATGAAGAAGGCAACCAGTTTAAATGTTTGTAAGACTCCTCAAATAAAGAAACCAAAACCACCGTTTTGATGTCAGAATGCCGATGTTGGGGAGCGTTCTTAATAAATCGAATCCGACTGTGACTTGTACTACACTGTGTTTAATAGGAAACAAAACCCCCATTTTATTGATTCACATCACTTTCCTGGATACAAATAAAAGCTGCATCAAGCACACTATATCCTCAAAGCTCAACCATCAAAATATCTTCAAACACAGGTGAGCAAAACTGAAGAGTGAATTGAGCTTGGAGAATAAGAAAATACTCTGAAGTATTGGCCGAGCTACACATTCATGAGGGCAAATTCCTGTCGACAAAATCAGGATTTTTTTTCTGTCTCACGGAAAAAGACCCTATGAAAATTAAAAGTTCGTTCTGAACATTCTCCAATA